CTACTTATTTTAAAACTTTTAATTTTCCTTTAAGTGAGGGTTGAAATAGAAAAAAAGTTCCTCATTCAGATGTCCTCTAACAATAGCATTAATGCATTGAGCATAAATCAAAGAAGGATTACATAAGCTGATAGGGTGGCTCCCTTAATGACATAAGTTAAAGAAGAATGTATCAATTTCCCCACATCAATTAAATAACCCACTTGAATAGCATAATTAAGAATTTCCTTATCCTTTGTCACTTAACTGATATTTTTACTAGGCGAAAAAAAAACAGAGATAAAATAATATTTTTCTTAAGAAAGTTAAGTAAGAAGTGGGAAAATTAATGATTTTATTGAAGCTTTTGTTCCATAAAACACTACTTAAAGGCGCATACATAACACTCAGTAACACCTCAGAGTCATAAGATACTAAATAGAAAGGGATGTACTCATCAAATGCAAATCTTTTTAGTTTGCACAGAAAATTTATCACATAGGAATCAAAAGGTACCCACATCCCCCTCACATAACACCTAATCTCCACAGCTTCCTTAGCATTAGATTTTTTTTTCAAACAATATTAGTAATAACAATATAAGGTTCCTGACAAAGAACTTCCCAACCCCGGTTCATAATCATTTGCATTACAATTCCACTTAGGCTTAGAAAATCTCTCTCATGAATAAGTTGCTTACATGCAAATAGTCGATCATAATGCTGCTTAGCTTCAACATATATGAAATAAATCTTATCATATAATAAATAATTTCTCTTCTTATTGCTAATCTTTTTTGTGGCTATTTCTTCACTAACTCACAAATATAAGGAATATACTAAGATACTCATAATAGAAGGCTCTCAAACATGGTGAAGAACAAATTAATAAAGAATTATTCTTATTTTATAGAATTGAACGAGCACTGCAATGCTTAAGAGAGTGATGGCATCGAAGAACACTAAATAACAAATTGGTCAAACTAACATATGCTGCAGTGGTGCCGGATTCATGACGCTGTGGCACAGGCATGGGAAAAAAAACCACCTACCTTTTTGATTGGATAAATATTGACAAATACCATCGCTGTGGTGCTCCAACTAACTAATTATGATTTTAACTTAACATTGTGTTGCTAAGGATAGTGTTGCAGTCCTCAATAAAGCCTCATAATAAAAAAGTAATGTAAGTTGAATACACTACCAGCAGTACTGTAGTAAATAATAACCTAACATCGTGGTGCTTCAATGTTAGTACTAAGACACCTGATATGGTAACATAGCATTGCAGTGCTAGAAAATATAGTGTTGTGCCAGTGCACTCCATAGATTTTCTTGAGAATCAAGAACTGCAGTGTCAATTTTGAGTGCTACAGTGCTTGACAAGCAAATGTTGTGGCACTTCATATCCTAACAATGCACAGTTAGTTAGATTTTAAATCCACAAATTTTAATTAAAACCAAAATTACTAAGGCACATTTAACAACCATATTAAAATTTTCAAAATTACAAAATAAATAATAAAAAAAATATTATAATTACATAAACATAAAAAAAATTCAACAACAAAAGTAAGACCTAACATCAACATATTTGGGTTGCCTTCTAAGCAGCACTATGTTTATAGTCTTTAACCAGACTTGCCTAGATTTTTCACTTTAGTGGGGTTGCATCACAACCACTCCTAATTAAATTTGTCCATACTTAAATCCTTCAATTTTTCCTTTGGATTAAATTAAATATTATTGGGAAATATTTTAATGGGTTTGCTAGTCAGAGAAATTGTAGTCTATCCTAATTGATTGTCTAAGTTTTTATGTAAAGAAGCTTGCCTTTAAAATTGATTTCTCAATTGAATCGCTACCTTTTCCAAAGGTGTTTTCCTATCTCTGTATTGTTTATTTTGATTAAAACCTGAGGGATAGGAAGGTCTAGGGTTTACTACAGGTTAGTGAGGATTATTATAATTTCCTTCTTGATTTGATTGATCTGCATCCCACTGATTATTATCACCAATATTATTGTTAGATTAAACAAAATTAGGGTGGTTCCTCCAACTTGGATTGTAATTAATAAAGTAGGACTTTTTTCGTCTTCCAATGACATTAATATTCCAACCTCTTAAACTTTATTCTCTCAAATATAATTAAAAGCTTGCTCTTCTCAAAGTTTATGTTATCTGAATCCTAAACTAACTTTAAAATTATCCAACATTTTAGATATAGTATCTACTTGAGCAGTCAAAATGGATAAGGCATATGACTCATAAACTTCAGCTACTCTCCTAGGCATCGGACCATTATGTTTTGCAATGTTTAAAAGAAGTTTATGCTAGGAAGTTTCTTTCTAAGAAAGCCTTCAAGTCACTATAATAACTTTAAAACAATTTTCATAAAAAATTGTAGCAATCTCAATTGGAATATAAGCTTTAATAAAAGGATGCCTTGATTCTATTCATTTTCTATAGAAATTAGATAAGAGAATCAATTTTGTAAGGCTTCATTGAAGCCATTCTCATAACTAGTAATACTCTTTCACATTCTTGTTTTTTTTTTTAAATCTAAAACCACTATATTTTTTTTAGCATTTATTTTTCATATTCAATGACACAATTGTAGATTGATGTAACATGGGATTGGACCTTTCACACACAATGATCATTTATTTAGTCATATTTATTTATTTATTAAAATTATCTAAATGTCTTGAACATGCCTAAAATAATTGGAAAACCTTCAACCATATCTCATTTGTTTTATACCCTTCAAAAACTCACCATCTTTCAAACACAATGATCAAGGTTGGAGTTTTTGTTTACATCATCTTGCTTACGAGGAAAGGACCAAATATATGGGGTGGTATTATGTGTGAGTAAATAGCTCCCTTGTTTGGTATATCATGTTTGGAAAATTTAAAGTTGTGCTAGCTTAAATCTACCAAATGGAGCATTGGATACTTTAGAGTTTACTATTTTGATAAAGCTCATTTCAAACCCATTATGAATTAAATCTAATACTTCTTAAGTCATAATACTCATAGACTTTAGCTCGTTATTGATTATTTCTCACAAAAATGATTCACACAGATTAAATTAAGATTAATTTTATATAGTTGGAGGGACGACATTGGAATCAATTTTGTATCTCAATTTTCATTCCGTTCAACACAAAGGATCATTTGGGATCAATTTTGTCTAACTAAGCAACTAAATTTTTGAAATTTGAACACTAAGGAAATTTTGGCTTCATATAAATAGTCAAGAGGTTATTTTTAGCTTTCTCCCTTTCATATTTATAAGAAAGTAAATAATTCCTATAACTTCTAATAATCGAGATGATTTCAATCAAAATCTAATGTCTTTTAACATAAAAACAACAACAAAAACAACATCAAGCTTTCATCCCACTATGTGGGATCTGCTACATGTTTCCTTTTTCTCCATTATGTCAAATTAATAGTCAAATTATCATTTAAAATTAATTGAAAAAAGGACAACATTAATATTTTTTTAATAAGACTTTTTAATTCTACCTCTTCTTGCTAAATCTAATGCATCTACTGTCCTTACCAGTTCATCGGAAGGTCAACTTTTTATGTGACCAAACCATCTAAGGTGACTCTCTCTAATTTTATTTGTCACTAGAGCTACTCCAACCTTTTCACGTAAATACTCATTTCACATTCTGTCTATAAGAGTGAAGCCACTTATCCACTCAAGTATCCTCATCTCTGCAACAATTATCTTAATTTTATGCTTATCTTTTAATGGCCAATATTATGCATCATTCATTCCAGGTCTCTCCACGATCTTATAGAATTTTCTCTCAAGTTTGAGGGGTAGTTTTCTATCACACAACATGTCAAATGTATTCATCAACCTCCACTATAGGAAAAACGTGTGATACTGGCAGAATAACTGTCAAAAATTCCAGAGATTTTGTACCTCCAATAATTCCACTATGATGAAATTTTTTTCCTACGTGGCTATTAAGGACGAAAAATTTTTCGTCGGAAAAATAGGAATCCATCGAAAATAGCCCAACTTTCTACTAATAATATCCTCATCTATTTCACCATCAATTTTAACAATAGATTCGATGTATCTACTATTTGATCACCCAAAGTTACAGTCTCACAATTAAATATATTACTACTAAAATTACACTCCATATATTCGATTTTAGATATACTCAAATGAAAGCTTTTAAACTCTTAGGTTGACCTCCACTGTTCAAGTTTACCTTCAACTCCCTCTCTAGTCTTATAATCCAGAAGAATATCATCAGCAATAAGCATACACATGGTACATCCTATTGCAAATGTCTATTAAGATCACCCGTGACTAAGGCTAAAAGATATCGGCTTATAGCTAATCATTGATTTAATCCAATTAATATAGGAAAATATGTGGTCAAACCATCTTGGAGTTGAAGGTAAATTTAAACTATGGCATTCAATATATGCATGCCATAAATATAAGTCACTAATTGTTGAAATTTAATGTTTCTTTAGAATTAATTATTCCCTAAATTTTTCTAGAACAACTTTTCTTTATATCTTGATTTATATTATATGAATTTGATTTTATGAGATTGAATTTTAATTTTATTAGAATCTCCCTAAATAATGGGGAATAAAATCAACTTGTAACATAAATAAAACCAAAATTAAATTAAAAAATATTGATAATTTACTTTGCTTAAAGTTCCTCTTCTATTGTCATAGCGCAATGTAATTGGGAATTCCTTCTGGCCTTCTATTTCACTTGTGGAGAAAGTCGCAAAGCATAGGTCTTCCTACCTCAAAGTCTCTGCTTTCTTGAATTCCTTATATGCGCAAGCAAAGATAGCATGTTGGATGTTTACCATATGTTTAAGCATGTTGTTGGATGTACTATACTTCTCTCTTTGATTTGTTCATAACATTCATTTCTGTACTATTTAGCTGGAAATTTATTTTCGATTTAGACTTTTATTTTGTGATCTTGGATAACAATATTTCTGTCAAATGACAACTTAAAGGTATCTGTCCTCTTGGTTCATTATGGATGTGGCATCAACAATCCCTTTTGAAGGTTTAGGCTATTTGTTCACTGGAAAAGTCAAGTCAGGGCTCTCTTACAGTGTTCTGGGCATCTTAAGACTATGGCGTCTTAGGAAGATAAAGCAGTTCTTCACAAGGTCAGAACATATTCTGCAAATCCTCAAAATTTTTACCTCTCCAAGAAAAAAAAAGGATCTTGTAAAATTAATAAGTTCATATTCTGGGCTACCCCTGCAGGCTTGAGAAGGATATCAGATTCAGCTACTTCTGGATAAGGTGTACAAGACTCATATTTGTAAGTAAAGCTTATAATTCTATCTTAGATTTCATTTGGAACAATTTTTTATTATTTTTGAAGCAACTTTTAATAATTTTTTTTTCAAAATATTTTTGCGCTAAAAATTTACTTTAAAAAGTAATAAGAAAGCTGTTTCAAATAAAGTCTTAATTAATTTTTTAAAAGCCTTTAAAGCTTGTTATATACATTAATCTGATCCCTGCTATAGCAGGACTATAAAAACTGAATAAAAGGTACAAATATGTTTCAGGTTACAATATTCTTAGTGCACTGTGCAGCTTGTCTCTACTACCTGCTGGCAGACCGATATCCACATCAAGGAAAAACATGGATAGGTGCAGCTATACCAAATTTCCGAGAGGCAAGCCTGTGGATTCGCTACATATCTGCTCTTTACTGGTCTATTACTACCATGACTACCGTTGGCTATGGCGACCTTCATGCTGTGAACATAACAGAAATGATCTTCAACATATTTTACATGCTATTCAACCTGGGTCTCACTGCGTACTTGATAGGGAACATGACTAATTTAGTTGTTGAAGGAACCCGAAGAACAATGGAATTTGTATGAATCTTCCAATTTCATCAATGATCTTTTTCTAAAAGAAGATAAGCAAATTGGAGCTTCTTATATGATATTTACTGATTGTTGCAGAGGAACAATATACAAGCTGCTTCTAATTTTGTATGTCGGAACCATTTACCACCCAGATTGAAACAACAAATATTGGCCTATATGTGCCTCAGGTTCAAAGCTGAGAGCTTAAACCAACAACATTTGCTAGACCAATTGCCCAACTCAATACGCAAAAACATCTGCGAGCAGCTTTTCCTCCCTACTGTGAAGGATGTCTATCTTTTTAAGGGAATCACAAGAGAAATGCTCCTTCTTCTGGTTTGATTATTTTGGACTTGAATAATTAGAAATAGATTTATATAGTGAGTACTTATCACAGATATTCAATTCTGATTCAACTAGGTTACACAGATGAAAGCTGAGTATATTCCCCCCAAAGAAGACATCATCATGCAAAGCGAAGCACCAGATGACGTGTACATTATAGTTTCAGGTAAAATTGAGATAATACACTCTGAAGAAGAGAGAGAACAAATCGTAGGAACATTAACCACAGGAGAAATATTTGGGGAAGCTAGTGCTCTCACTAACAGGCCTCAGAGCTTTACTTTCCGTTCTAAAACTCTGTGTCAACTGTTGAGGTTAAAGAGGAACACACTCAAAGAAGCTATGAAAGCAAAACAAGAAGATAGCAATGCTATAATAAAGAACTTGTTGAAGGTAAAGTAGAACTACGTACGTTATCAAATCTTGTTTCTTTCTTTTCATGTTCGTTCAGAGGTAAGATTTACGATTATTATATTTTGCAGCATCAAATCGAATGTAGAAATTTTAGCTTTGAGGATTTAATAGGAGAAAATGGTGAACGTGCTGAATCTACAATACCTTGCAATATTCTAACAGTGACTGCCACTGGAAATAGTTGTTTCCTTGAGGAACTCCTGAAAGCTGGAATGGATCCAGATGTTGGCGACTCTAGAGGAAGGACTCCATTGGTATGGCTTTACTGTTTAACTTCAAGAAATTTTGGATATAAGATTAGAAACATCTTTAAAACAACACAAAGAAAACGAAATCTTTGTTGCCATAGCCATCAAATCTCGAAGCCAAATGATATTGTGCTCGAATCAAGCCCATTGATAGTTGATGCATTCAATATGTTATGAAAAGATCTAATATTCTTGAGATTCTCCCACAACCCAAACTTAGGCTTTGTTTAGGATAGATCTTTTACTACTTCTTAAACCAGCTTTTTAGTACAAAATTTTTAATTTTTACACAAAAACAATTTTTTTAAGAAGCAATAAAAAACTATCCCAAACAAAACCTTTAATTCCTTGACTCAAAATAATCGTCAACAACAGAATCTCAAATTCTAGGTTCAGCAAACTTCTATTGTTATCATGCCACAAGTATATTTATTATTAACTTTAATCATGTAATTCAGCACATAGCAGCGATTGAAGGATATGAAGACTGTGTTTTGGTGCTACTGAAGCATGGGTGTAACATAAACATACAAGGTAATTAAGCTTTAAGAACCTACGCTAATAGAAATATGCAAAACTCACTCCCTCACTTTATTATACCATTTGCAGACAAGGATGGAAATACTGCCTTATGGCTAGCAATTACGACAAAGCATAAGAGAATTTTCAATCTATTGTATCATTTCGCCTGCACGTCCAATCCAAATGCCGGAGGTGAACTCATTTGTCTTGCAGCAAAAAGAAATGATCTTTCCACAATCAAAGAAATTTTGAAGCAAGGCTTGAATATAGATTCTACTAACTATGAGGGGCTGACAGCCTTGGAAGTTGCCTTAGCTGAAAAGCAGGTAGAGGTAGCGAGGTTTCTGATTATGAATGGAGCAAACATAGAAAATGTAAATATTCATGGAAGAGATGCAATTCCAAAGGGCGAGCTTGAAGAAATGGTAAAGAAGCGGGAAATTGGCTACCCAATAACGATATTCGAATCACCGGAGGTGTTCAAGAAAAAAATGATATATGGGGACGACGGTGGAAGTGTTAAATTGAGAGAGAGAAGTGTAATTTGTCCCAGGGCCAGTGTGTATAGAGGCCATCCGATGCTTAGGAATCCAACCTCAGAAGCAGGAAAGCTGATAAATTTGCCAAGCACAATGGAGCAGCTCAAGGTTATCATTGGTAAGTTTTAATTTTTGCTATTAATTTATCTTGACAAACCAAGCAAAAGAACTGAGAAATTAACAGGCATGTGTTGTTCTTAAGTTTTATAATATATTTGTTCTTGTTGGCAGGTGAGAAGTTTGGAATTGCTGCCAGGAATGTCAAAATAACAAATGATGAAGGAGCGGAGATAGATTCTATTGAAGTAATTCGAGATAATGATAGGTTGTTCATAGTTCAGGATTAAGATTTCATCAGAAAAGATGGCTTTATGCTATAATACAGATTTAGCTCCTCCTCGCTTTTCCTGCCCTCTAAAGATTTTGCTCGTATTTCTAGAAGTTTATATCTCTATTTCAAAATGTAAAAGGACCATAACGACAATATCCTTCTCACAGTAATATTGTGAATAAGGTCTTAATGATGTAGAAATTGTTGAATTCAAAGTTGTTGATAGAGAATAACCAAAATCTTACTTGAGAATCGAATCACATTAGAAAGCAAGAAGAATGAGAGAAAAAGTAGATTTCAAAGAATATCTTAGGGAATTGGTTCAAAAAAAATTCAATTGAACTATTATAAGATGAGAAGGGAAAGCCAACTGAATTTAACGAACACAATTCAAAGAATAAAAATATTATATGTGAAATTCTTATGATTTCAGAAATTTGCATCTGACCATTGATCCCTAATTATTGGTGGAAACTGTGGCTGTGCTACAGATTTGGCTAATTGATAAAACTAGTTGGAAGATCCTATAGTTACCGAGCCAAACACTACAGGAAAATCATCTATTACTGACAGAATTTTTCGGTAGTTTTTGAATTTACCGGCTGTTTTCCGGCGAAAAAAATTCCACCTGCAAAACACGCATAGGAAAATAAATTCCTGCGACTTTTTCTGCCTGAAAATAATTCTGACGAATTTTCGGCGGAATTAAGACGTCGGAAAATTAAAAAAAAAAATAATTAAAAAAATCACCTGCTCTCCCGCCCGGCAGCCAGCTTGACCTCTCCGAATGCTGCCCGTGTGTGCTAGCCCAGCACCCCGCTCCCGTGCCACCCCAGCAGCTCGCTCCTACTCCCGTGTTTGTCAGTCTAGCAGCTCGCTCCCACGCCAGCCAGCTCCCACGCCCCACAGCCCATGCTCCCGCGCCCGTGTGCTCCCGCACCAGCCTAGCAGCCCGCCCACTCCCGCACCCGTGCTTGCCAAGGGTTTTGAACCCGGGTGGGTTGGGGAGAGTTTCAAACACCCAACCAAATTGCTGAACAGGTAAATATATTTTAAATGTCAATTTTTTATATTTAACATATATTTTGACACAAAATCAAGTTAATAAATAAAATTAAATATACTAACTAATTTAATTATAAAAATAACTAATAAAAATTAATATTTACTAACTAATTTTAAAATGAGGGCGAAATCTCTGGGTAGTGTCTTATCTACAAACCCATCTGCCTTCCAAAATTTACCTCGGAACTTAGTTTATTAATAGCTTGTTCAAATTTGGTTCTTGTTTTATTCGAGCTTTATTATTATTTTTTTATGTTTAATTCATTTAAATTAATGGTGTTCATGCTTGGTTCATATTCAATTCGTTTAGTGCTTATCAAGCTTTAAACTAACAAGCCTTAACGAGCAATGTTCATGATCATATTTAGCGAATTTTTTTACACTATCAAACAAGCATGTTCATGAACAAATCTAATGAGTATTCTTGAGCTATCAAATGAGCAAGATTATGAATTTATACATAACTTGTATTTTTTAGCTACCAAATGAGCTTGTTCATAAACAAATGATCAATTATTCATCCTTTATTTGTTCATGAACATTTTAAACAAACAATCTAGCAAACATTGACAAATGCAACTTTAGAGGAAGGCACTCGAGGTAGGGACTTGTGAATGGTCGTTTATATAATTCTCTATTAATAATAGTAAAGTTTATTGCCTACCTCTAAATTAAGTTGCATTGTAGCAATTAAATCTTCAAGAAGCACACCACCTTTAAAGAAGGACATGATGGGATTGATCCAAGATGTCTCTCTTGGTTCATCAATTGATTGTATAACTCATGGACCTTGGATACTCGGGAAGTGAATATCCTTAATACACTTTCCCTTGAAGACGTCACTAGTTGTAGATGTAGCAAGTTTGGAGAGAACATTTGCTCGCGCATTCTGCTCCTGAAGCATATAAATGATTTGATGCTCTCTTATATAGGTTAAAAACGACTTTACTAACTTATAGTACTCAGCTAGCTATGGGTTATGAACATCAAACTCCCCTTCCACCTGAGAGGTGACTAATTAGAAATCAATGTGGACCACCAAGTTTTGTACTTCGCAGTCGATTTCTAGCCTTAATCCGGCAAAGAGGGCCTCATATTCAGAAAAATTATTTCTTGTAGGAAACTTCAGTCGAGGTCCATATTTAAGGCTAGTTTGTTCTGGGGAGATTAATAAGATTCTAGCATCGATACCAAAACTTCCATAAGTTCCATCGACATGTAAGGTCCAGTTCGAGGAAGAAGGAGAAGCACTCAGCAATTTGTTTGAGAATGGAATGATGCACTCGACTAAAACTTTTTCCAATAACTGCGACTTGATATCAGACCTAGGGAAGTACTGGATGTCGAATTCTCCTACCTCCACCTACCACTTGATTAATCTTCCAAATGCCTCAGGCTTTTGGAGAATGTTTCTCAACGATAGATTTATATAGATTCCATTCATATAAGATTGAAAATAAGGGCATAACTTTATGGCCGAGAAAACTAATGTCAAAACTATCTTATCTGCTAGTGGATAACGTCCTTCTATCTTAGAAAAAAATTTGTTGATGTAATAGTTAGGATGCTGTATAGTATTCTCTTATCGGACTAAGATAGAACTGATGGCCTGAGCAAGAATAGCCATGTACAAATATAACTTTTCTCTAAGCATTGGTTTATAAAGTAGTGGTGGGGATATCAAATGCTTTTTTAGTTGTTAAAAGGCTTTTTAGTATTCATCAGTCTATTGAAATTTCGAGCTGTGAGCACCTCTAAGGAACTTAAAAAGAGTACATATTTGTCTCCTGAGCAAGTCAAGAAATGAAAGAGTGTTTCAATCCTTCCATTTAGTCTCTAGACTTTCTTGATATTTCTCGGGGGAACCATGTCCCTCAGTGCCTTGATCTTCTGAGGATTTTCCTCAACCCCTTGGCGGGTTACCATAAACCCTAAGAACTTTCTAGAGGCGACTCCAAAAGCACACTTGGTAGGATTGAGTTGCATGTTATAGTGTCGTAGTAGGTGGAAGCACTATTCCAAGTCAGGTATATCTTAAGATTTTTCAATATATTTTACCAACATATAATCGACATAAACTTTCATAGTGCGTCTGATAAGGTATTTGAAAATCTTATTCATAATGCATTGATACGTTGCTCCAATGTTCTTGAGCCAGAATAACATCACCAGATAATAGTAAAACCCCTTATCTGTTTGTAAGATGCTCCCTCCTCATCAGTATGATCCATCTTTATTTAATTATATCTAATGTAGGCATATATGAAGCTCAGTACTTGATGTCTAGAGGTGGTAAGACTAACTGATCAGTACAGGGAAGCAAAAAACTATTTTTTTGGCAGGCTTTATTGAGATCTGTATAGTTTATGCACATTCTCCCGACTCCACTTTCCTTCTGAACCCTAACGATGTTTACCAACTAATTGGGGTAGTGCACTTCCCTTATAAATCCAGCATCAAAAAGCTTATTAACTTCCTGCTCAATTTTCTGCTGACTATATGGTGCAAAGTTTCACTTCTTTTGGATTACTGGCTTACACGCCAGGTTGACCATGAGGGAATTCATAATTACGTATGGGTTTATTCTGAGCCTATTGGATGGATTTCATACAAAAACATCTTGGTTTATGCGCAGGTATATACATTTTCTTATATTCATCTAAGAGAAGTTATCCAATCTACAATATCTTTGAAAGGTACTTATTTGATAGAGAGACACAAGCAAGGTCTTCTATGGGGGAAGCCATCTAAGAAATATACTCATTCTTAAGATCAAAATTATCAATGCTTAAGGTAAATGATGGGTATGGTTGAGCCTGCTTAAGATAGTAGGATTATGCTACTAGTTGATCTCCTCGTACTATACCAATTCCTACTATGGTGAAAAAAAATTAGTTTGAGGTGAGGGATTGAAGCTATAATCTCAAAGATTGATTGGAGAGGCCTTCTAAAGATAGTGTTATAGGCCTATTCTGATTTTACCAAAATAAAATAGATGGAGTGTGTAACCTATCAGGGGAATTCTCCAAGTATAACTGGAAGATTAATCGTTACTTTTAATTATAAAGGTCAATTGTCAAATCCGTATAATGGACCTGCAGCCAGCTGCAGTTTCTCTTTGGGGAGGCATATATTGAGAAAGGTAGAGTAGAATATGATGTCTATATAGCTCCAATTGTCGACCAAGATCCTCTTTACATTATAGCATGGATCGCCAATCCTTGTACTAATTACGAGTGGATCTTGATGAGGGGCTTTATTCCTTATAAGTCAAAAACATCAAAAGCAATGGAGTGATCAGTGCGAGACTTCTTTGGTGTTGGCTTTTTATTGGTTGCAATCAAGACTTGACTGGATAATGATGGGGCCCTGACAATGGTTTCAGTTTCCCCAACCACTTGATGATTATTCGACAATTGCTTTTACTGTTGATTTTGCCCACAATGGAGCTAGTTTCATCTCGAGCAGGTAGTATTTGGATAAATTATCATAGATATCCTTGTTAGATTAGTCTCCCAATTTTTTCCTTGAGTTGCCTGTATGCTTTGGTATTGTGTCCACGACTACGATGGAAGTGGCAGTATTGCTCCTAATTTCCAATGTTAGGCTTCAAATGATGTGGCCACTTTATGTTCTCCTGATCTCGAATGGCCGTCAACACATTTGATTGAGATACATTAAGTGGTGTGTACTCCTTTTCTTGGTGAGACTCTCATCACAGTTATGTGGGCCAAGGTGTAAACAATAGTTTCCTTTCTTCTTCCACTGTCAGGATGGATTCTCCATCCTTGATGAATTTTTAAGCTTCCCATTTATTTATTCAAATTACTTTCTTTGAGCATTAATCACTTCATCGACAGAGATTTGTGCCTCTACATGATGGATCAGATCAATGTATAAATAAATGGTGTCTCATATAAGTGCTGAGTAAAATAGGCCATGACGGAGCACTCCGAGGAAAACTCCTTTAAGTAGTTCAGGATCCACCCCCCAAAATTTGTTGAGCCTTAGTAGAAAATCTTTGAAAGTACTCTTTGACGGACTCATTTTTATTCTGGTGAATTCCTGAGAGGTGGGATAAATCTTTAACCATTCTCTAATTGGAAACAAATTATTCAATAAATACTTAGGTCAATTTGACGAACATTTGAATGGTTCCAATTGGAAG